TTTTGAATTCCTCAAAGACACCGAACAACAAAGGGACCTCTGTGCTAGACTTCTCAGAGATGGCTTCAACTTTCGATAAAAACACTGTTGTTTTTGACATACTACGGTGACTCAAGGGAGCAAATACAAATGTTTAGCTCTCATATAGCTACTGTCTTTCCTTAATATTAGTGACCTTCTATTCGTGGCAACTTCTTTATGCATTTACTAAAAATGCCATGATAGAGCCTCCGATGAGACGATTTTGTGTCCCCGTGTATTCCTTTCTTACATATTCGGATTCTTTTTTGTAGGCTAGGGATAATGAATTGCTGCTTTATATTAAAAGTGACTGAGTGTATGAACATGATCATGCCCTAATGCAAAAAGGCTTATGATATAAATGAAGCCATTGACCAAGAAATAGAGTTTAATTATACCTTACGTTGAAATCAAGTCAACATTAACAATTTATCTTAAGATATTTTAAAAATAGGCAGAACCTGATTATTCGATAATTAACAGTTACACGTGAAACTTCGTTCTTTTTAGCCTGAATCTGATAAATCGTCGGATAGATCTCAAATATTACCAGATCGATCTTCTCTATTTTCGAATCAACATAATAACTTTGTCCAGATTTTTGTATATGCATACCCGTCGGCTAGACACGTAAATATCTGTCATGTGTTGCTGTTACTCTGCAAACAGTTGTAAAGAGCTTCAAAGGTGTGAAGTTGTTTATTATTGGGAAAAGTAATATGAAAGATGTTCTAAAGTTCACTGTGAAGAGGAATTATACAGTATCTTACAATGTTGATCCAAATAATAATAATAATAATAATAGCTTTATTGTCCAACAGTTTCCCATTTATAGGACAATTTATAAACATAATACAAAAGCAAAAAAAAAAGCGAAAAAGAGCGAAAAGAACACAACAAATGCAACACAGGTATAAATGAAAATGAGCTATTGGTCCGAATAAGCCTTAGCTGCCTTTAGCAGGTAAATTAACATTTGTCGTAAATGTATTACAGTAACGTCCAATTCGGTATAAGTTAGAGCACATTACATATAACGGTGGCTTGAGAAGAATGTTTGTCCTAGCTCTAGGAAGCCCGAATATTTTATGATTGCGAGATGCAAACGTTCGAGTACGAAACTTGATCTGTTCCAGGATCATGGGGCAATCAATTAAATTGTTGATCATTTTGTAGCCAAATATTATTTAGGCACAGTACCTACGTTTTTTCAAAGTCAACATGTCTAAGCGACTACATAGTTCCTCATTACTTGTACCTCTCCCTGGATATGTCCCATCAATCCTAAACAGAACAAACTTCATAAACTTCCGTTGTACTCTTTCAATAGCTGTGCTATAGCATTCATAGTAAGGGCTCCAAATAATACTACAATATTCGACTTTGGATCTAACATAAGCATAATATAATAGCTTAATAGACTTTATGTTATGAAAATTCCTGCAATTCCTTACTATGAAACCATAAGCCGCCAATGCTTCTGATGCTTTTTTATTTATATGCTGACTAAAAGTTAACTTTCGATCATAGATTATATCTAAATCACGTACATCAGAGCATCTTTTTAGCACAGACCCATCAATAGAGTACGGATATTCGCAAACATTAATTTTCTTGGTATATTGGTATTTTACACTTCCTCACATTAAGCTCCAACTTGTTTTCTACACACCAAGACAGCAGAAAATTTAATTGGTGTTGTAGCTTGATACAATCATCAGGAGTATTCATCTGCGAATAAATTTTTTGGTCGTCAGCAAAGCATAGGCGTTCACATTCAATTGAGTCACAGAGGTCATTAATAAATCTCAAAAACAGTAATGGTCCCAGGTTGGACCCCTGAGGAACTCCAGAAGGTGCCAAGCAGGTCTCAGATTGGAAGCCATTGTATCTAACAAATTGTCTACGATCAGATAAGTAGGATTTCATCAACTCCCTAGCATCATCTGTGAAACCAAGTGCACCTAACTTATTTAATAAAGTTTTGTGGTTAATTTTATCGAAAGCCTTCGAAAAGTCGGTATAAATAAGGTCAACTTGCTCATTACTATCGAGAGGTACTGCGTTATTATAAATAGATTTGTGGTTGTTGAACGATTAGCAACAAATCCGTGTTGATGCAATGGCAGCTGACGCTGGACGGCAGTGTGAATGCGACTGTACAAGACTATTTCAAAGACTTTCGAGAACATACATAACATAGAGATTGCCCTGTAATTCTCAATATTTGACTTATCCCCACACTTAAACACTGGACAGACCTTAGCGATCTTCCAAATATCTGGAAATCTTTTTGTTACAAGACAAATATTAAAAATCCTAGTTAGAACACCAACAAACACTTCCACGCAATGCAATAAATACGGAATATAATCATAATTGGATTGCGTTTATACTCCTACTCATTCCAGATGCTCCCTATTCCATTGATACGCCTCGTTTTCCATATAAATAACCAGAAATGAGGCATTATAATAAGTGCTCCAGATTCCACATGCACGCGTTGTGCACCAGCCGCTCATTCATGGCATCTAGACGGAAATAAATAGTTTAGTGATCGTTGAATTCTGTTAGAAGAGGCAACTACTCAAAGCTAATTGATTTCGATTCTAGGTAACGTTTATACAATCTGGCGAGGCAGAGGCAAACAATTGTCTGCGGATTCAATTACCGTGAACAAAGGAGCCATTTCTGCTGCAAATGGCGGTTGCAGAAGGAACAATCGGGACTCGATGTTCCGACCCGACAACAAAGCCGCTTTTCGGTTATTTTAGAAAATTCCTTCCCTTGCCCTGGCTACTTAATCACTCCTCACTGATGAATATTTTTTCTTTTTATGTAGTTCTTCTAACAGGAGAAACAGACGTTGAGTGAACACGAAATGGATTTATTGGATTACGGACTTGGCGAAAGTGTTGATTTCGTCGAGTCAAATATAAAAATAGAAGCAAATTGATTTGAGCAAATATTCAATGAGTAATTCAAAGGAATGATCCATGGCTGCTTCGACATTTGACATATTTTGATGGTGCTTTTCGATTTCCCCTGAAAGTTTATTCCCTTGCCCTGGCTAGTTACCACTGCTGATTGATGAATACGTTTTTCTTTTTATCTAGTTTTTTGTAAGAGGAGGAACAGACGTTGAGTGAAAGCGAAATGGATTTATAAGGAATACGGATTTGGCAAAAATGTTGACGTCGCGCCAAATATAAAAAAAAATATTTGATAGATGGTATGTCCTAAATGTAGAGCAAATCTTCAAGGAGTAACTCCAAGTGATGAACCAAGACTGCTTAGTCGTTCGACATGTTTTGATAGCAACGGTGCTTTTCAGTTGTTCAAGAAAATTCCTTCCGTTGATCTGGCTACCTATCACTCATGACTGATGAATATTTCTCTTTTTATCTAGTCTTTGTAAGGAAACACATAGACGTCAAATATAGAAATAAAGCGAATTGATTTGACAGTGTATGCTAAACGTGGAGCAAATATTTAAGGTGTAATTCCAAGGAATGATCTAAAACCTCTTTTCCATTTTACATGTTTTGATAACAAAGGTGCTCTTAGATAATTATAGAAAATTCCTACCCTAGCTTTTCTAACGAGAAAGATAGACGTTGAGTGATCACGGAATGGATTTATTGGGATGACAGACTTGCAAAAATGATGAAACAGTCAAGTCAAATATAAAAATCCAAGCAGATTGATTTGACAGCATTTGCTCTAAACGTAGAGCAAATACTAAGGAGATAATTATTAGGAATGATCTAAGATGAATGTCATACTATAAGTATTTACAGTAGATTTTCACGTGATCTGATACATCAATAACTACTGACGTCCATAACGTATCACATTCCATGGTAAATAATAATAAATCATAGCATATACTAATAGTGTGGCATTCTCCTAACTGCACTTTCACATGTTTCCAATACTGGTGTTTCTAGGTTAATTTAGATGAATATATTCCACTTCATGCTTCTTATAGAGAGGAAGGAAATTATAAAGGGTGAACATGAAATGGATTTATTTGAGCTACGGATCTTGACTATATTAAGTAATATATAAAAGTCGAAGTAGTAACGTAATTCTGCAAGTTGTTTTAGCCAGCAATTGGTGGAATACCAGCCACCACGAGCAGTGCATCGATCGACATCGTTCTATAAACGCAATACCACGCGTAACACTAGTTTTCGCTGGCTTCTAAGCATTAACTGTCTATATGTCTCTTTCCTCAAAGCCTTGGGAACTTTCAATTTGCCTCTCCTGCCAGAATTCTGCACCACTAGATGACATCAGCCGTATCAGATATTCAACGACCTTATTTAACTTGTCAGTGGTGGGCCTTATACACATACAGATACTTAATTGCATTTTGACTACGAACCTTGGCCCCTAATGAAGTTAGCTTCTATATCCCAGAAACCACTTCAGTTTTCTCAGAAGCTAATTTAGGTTACCTTTGTATCAAATCTCATTTTGGCATCTACTCTTGACAGTTTGACCCCCAATCATATGAGTGCCGTTTAAATAGTTGAGAGTTTCAAAATAATATGGCGTACCCTAGTCCGTCTGAAAGCAGATTTCGCCATACCCTGTGGGTGTACACAGGAACAAACGGATTATAATTCAGGGCAGCGTCCAATTTACGCCAAAAATATCCCGAGGCGCACACGGGCAACCCTAATGGATAAGTAAACATACGGTACACAGAACACTGTGTTCGCAAAATAAGACATTCTACCCAGCAGAATGTCAAGAGTGTGATCTCAATTTCGGTTGTTATTCGTTGTCAAGAAACAACAAATCCTGCTTGTACAATTAGAAACCCACTGTTGGTGAGACAGATGGAAGGCTTATATTGTGGATGTCTATCAATTTGATTCCCTACAGGATTTACTTATCACACGGCAGCGCTACGAGATCCCGGCTTTTCTTTCACATTGGAACCAGTAAAATGAAGTAAGCACATTTACTGGAAAATGCCTTCTTCATTGAAACAACTCAAAGCGTAACGTACTCTAATCCACGAATTAGTATCAATGACGTCGCTTCTGTTCATGACAGTATATTTGAAGTTATGATTAACTATTTTGGCAGCTGTGCCAAAATTGTCGGGAATGAAGACTATACCCATTGCGTCAGGCATATATTGTAGATTCTGATCATATGGAAGGATTAAATCAAATTTTACATTGTAAAAAATTCCTCTCTGGCTAGTACCTGGTTAGAAGAGGTAAAAATATATAAAATCCATTCTCAATTTCTGTCTACTCCCTCGGTAGAATATTCCCAATTTTAGGTATTTGGCAAACAAACTGACGGGTACGCTTCAGCTCCTATAATATGGCCCTGTCGCAAAATACGTTCGTAATTAACATCGACTGTCTCTAAACTACCTCCCTGTAATATTAGATCCAGTAGAAAGACTCTGAGCTCTAGTACATACTTGTAAATGCCTTTATCCGCCTTTATCCCGGCTCTGTCGCAAAATCCATTCTCAGCTGAGGTGTCCTTCGACACACTACCTTGAAGCCCTGGTGAAAAAAAACTTAATGTTCCATTTAATTCCGTAGTACCCAACCGGGTCACGGCCTGTTGCATAACAAATAACACATGCATAGGATAATAATGTCCGTACTATAAGATATTTGAAGAGACAATGTCGTACTTATTCCACTTTGGTGATTCTATTATCGAGAGTTCGATGCAAGATGTCACAATAATATGCAAAAATGTTCTCCGTTTGAGGGCAAATGTCGAAACCAAAATTCCAGTGGAGCAAATTTTCTAAACTATGGTACCGTGAAAGACAAAAAAATGTTGATGGAGTACTACAGAGATTTGAAGACGAGTTTTCTAGTAGTGTGCGCTGTATTTCACAGAATCTTGGCGCAGATGGGATTCAACTTAGAGAGCTGTTGCTCCCGTGTCATATCCAACGTCGTAGACACCTCTTTTAGAAGATTATCCAAAGAGATTCGTCTAGTTTTGCAAAATGATCATCCAACAAGCTAACAACGTAGTTAAAAGAAAGATGTTAGGTTTTTGATGGACGGGCATTTATAGCACTCACAATTTACGCCACTGGACTCTAGAGGGAATCTACGTCTCATGGGGCGGGAATGCTTTCAACATCGATTTGGAGATAGTTGAATTAACAGAAAAGTGATGTGAAAAAACTTATTTAAATTTCCTTCGAAAACATATAAGGCTGATGATGAGCTGCTAGCACGCTTACCGAAAAACAATGAGGCCCCAGTATGATCGGGCTCGTCTACGCAATGAATCTCATGTTTTTTCGATCGCACTCCCTTCCTCCTACTTGGATTACAAAAAGCTGAAAACTGCTTTTATAGGATCAGGTAATACGCCACCGTCCCTGTAATACTGTTATTAATAAATAATCTCAATTTTGCTATCCCTTGTATTATTTAGATCTAGAAATAATTCTTGTTTGAAGACAGTGCCTTAATTACTTCTTCGTCCTATGCAGAATGACAATTGCAGTTATTTTATCAAGTTCTCAAAATGGAAATTTTCGAGATTCAGGATACCCGCATGATTTTGGAGATAGACTTGCGCAAATTCTATTTTCATTACTTCATATTTGAAACGTATCCAGAAATATTTCATAACTGTGGAAACGTTGACTGTTCGCTAATTTTTTGTACATGACTTGTTGGATATGCTGTAATATTTTTGACAGAACTCCAGTTGACTCGATTGTTAAACCTACATTAACTGGACTAATTTTTCACTGACAACTTTTCTTGGTATGGTCTTGAAACAGATTTTATCGATTTTATCCCTTTTAATAACAATTCGGCAGCATTTCAGCAAAAATTAGTACTCCGACTGGGAATATTCTATCCTAACACGAATCCCTCTTGGACTACAAAGGTGTGTCAAAGCTTTTAGATATTGCAACCTATCAGAAGTGCTCTATAATGGCTGTTCGATGTATGCGAATACTTAGATTAAAGATTAAAAGAGGATTTTTTTTCAAATGAGCTGATTTGCTCTACTTGTAGATATTAAGAGCTATATTTGAGTCTTTAAAGCTTACGGAAAAACAGAAATATCCTAGGTCTAGGGTTTCATCCTACCCTAGTTATCTCAGTTTTCAAAACAATCGGATGCTATAGCGCCGTCTCTGAATCTCATAGTACAAGCCAACTGCAAGCCCGTGTCTAAAAGTCTGAGCCTTCCCAAAGCTGTTCCAAAGACGATTGAGGATGTGGCGAGAATCAGAACGTTCGTGGCATCCTCAGACCTCTCCTTGAACTTCCATGACTCCTTTGGCATTTCCCGGTAGCTTTCAAGGGTTGGCCTTGGTCTATGCACGCCTGAAACAAATTTGGTGGAAAGATGTTTCTAAAATCAAGAAAATTACATGAAGTTTTGTCACATTTTTCTCAAACGAGTAGTTTTGGTTTGTTTGTACTATGGGATGTCCTACATCAGAGTATTTAAAGTGTAAGAAAGAAGAGAAATAAAATAATCCAAGCCAGAACTTTCATGATACCCGCATAACTCTTCCTGAACCTCCAGGTTTTCTTAGGGATTTCCCAGTCCCATAGCTATTTTGCGGTAGCATGTAAGGGTTGGCCTTGATCTATGCATGCCTGGACCAAGTTTGGTGGAAAGAGGTTCTTAAAATCGATAAAATTACATGGAACATTGTCACATTTTTCTCAAATGAGTTGTTTTGCTTTGTTTATGTTATGGGCTGTCTTACATTTGAGTCTTTAAAGTGCAAAGAAAAAGAGAAATATTCCATGTCAGTAATTTCATCCTCCTCTAATTACCCCAGTTTTCAAAACAATCGGATGCTTTAACGCCGTCTCTGAATCTCATAGGAAAGGCCAACTGCAAGCCCGTGTCTAAAAGTCTGAACCTTCCCAAAGCTGTTCCAAAGACGATTGAGGATGTGGCGAGAATCAGAACGTTCGTGGCATCCTCATACCTCTCCTTGAACTTCCATGACTCCTTTGGCATTTCCCGGTAGCTTTCAAGGGTAGGCCTTGGTCTATGCACGCCTGAAACAAATTTGGTGGAAAGATGTTTCTAAAATCAAGAAAATTACATGAAGTTTTGTCACCTTTTTCTCAAACGAGTAGTTTTGGTTTGTTTGTACTATGGGATGTCCTACATCAGAGTATTTAAAGTGTAAGAAAGAAGAGAAATAAAATAATCCAAGCCAGAACTTTCATGATACCCGCATAACTCTTCCTGAACCTCCAGGTTTTCTTAGGGATTTCCCAGTCCCATAGCTATTTTGCGGTAGCATGTAAGGGTTGGCCTTGATCTATGCATGCCTGGACCAAGTTTGGTGGAAAGAGGTTCTTAAAATCGATAAAATTACATGGAACATTGTCACATTTTTCTCTAATGAGTTGTTTTGCTTTGTTTATGTTATGGGCTGTCTTACATTTGAGTCCTTAAAGTGTAAAGAAAAAGAGAAATACTCCATGTCAGTAATTTCATCCTACTCTAATTACCCCAGTTTTCAAAACAATCGGATGCTTTAGCGCCGTCTCTGAATCTCATAGGAAAGGCCAACTGCAAGCCCGTGTCTAAAAGTCTGAACCTTCCCAAAGCTGTTCCAAAGACGATTGAGGATGTGGCGAGAATCAGAACGTTCGTGGCATCCTCATACCTCTCCTTGAACTTCCATGACTGCTTTGGCATTTCCCGGTAGCTTTCAAGGGTTGACCTTGATCTATGCACGCCTGAAACAAATTTGGTGGAAAGATGTTTCTAAAATCAAGAAAATTACATGAAGTTTTGTCACCTTTTTCTCAAACGAGTAGTTTTGGTTTGTTTGTACTATGGGATGTCCTACATCAGAGTATTTAAAGTGTAAGAAAGAAGAGAAATAAAATAATCCAAGCCAGAACTTTCATGATACCCGCATAACTCTTCCTGAACCTCCAGGTTTTCTTAGGGATTTCCCAGTCCCATAGCTATTTTGCGGTAGCATGTAAGGGTTGGCCTTGATCTATGCATGCCTGGACCAAGTTTGGTGGAAAGAGGTTCTTAAAATCGATAAAATTACATGGAACATTGTCACATTTTTCTCAAATGAGTTGTTTTGCTTTGTTTATGTTATGGGCTGTCTTACATTTGAGTCCTTAAAGTGTAAAGAAAAAGAGAAATACTCCATGTCAGTAATTTCATCCTACTCTAATTACCCCAGTTTTCAAAACAATCGGATGCTTTAGCGCCGTCTCTGAATCTCATAGGAAAGGCCAACTGCAAGCCCGTGTCTAAAAGTCTGAACCTTCCCAAAGCTGTTCCAAAGACGATTGAGGATGTGGCGAGAATCAGAACGTTCGTGGCATCCTCATACCTCTCCTTGAACTTCCATGACTGCTTTGGCATTTCCCGGTAGCTTTCAAGGGTTGACCTTGGTCTATGCACGCCTGAAATAAATTTGGTGGAAAGATATTTCTAAAATCAAGAAAATTACATGAAGTTTTGTCACCTTTTTCTCAAACGAGTAGTTTTGGTTTGTTTGTACTATGGGATGTCCTACATCAGAGTATTTAAAGTGTAAGAAAGAAGAGAAATAAAATAATCCAAGCCAGAACTTTCATGATACCCGCATAACTCTTGCTGAACCTCCAAGTTTTCTTAGGGATTTCCCAGTCCCATAGCTATTTTGCGGTAGCCTGTAAGGGTTGGCCTTGATCTATGCATGCCTGGACCAAGTTTGGTGGAAAGAGGTTCTTAAAATCGATAAAAGTACATGAAACATTGTCACATTTTTCTCAAATGAGTTGTTTTGCTTTGTTTATGTTTTGGGCTGTCTTACATTTGAGTCTTTAAAGTGCAAAGAAAAAGAGAAATATTCCATGTCAGTAATTTCATCCTACTCTAATTACCCCAGCTTTCAAAACAATCGGATGCTTTAGCGCCGTCTCTGAATCTCATAGGAAAGGCCAACTGCAAGCCCGTGTCTAAAAGTCTGAACCTTCCCAAAGCTGTTCCAAAGACGATTGAGGATGTGGCGAGAATCAGAACGTTCGTGGCATCCTCATACCTCTCCTTGAACTT